ATACACTGAACAAAACTGCTTGGCAAACAAGTCCGACACGGCTTTACTCCCATAAGCACGCTCACTGCCGAGGAACATTTCCGATGGGTACGATGAACTAGTCCTACGAAGATTTTTGATGTGTGTCCAGAAGAATTTAGGATGTCCTTTTATTTTGTTTTCTATTGTTGTTATGTAATTTCTGTAACACAGTCTCGCAAGAATTCTACAGTCTCTTCTCAAATAACTAAACTCCAGTTTGTCTAAAGGGTTATTATGTGCTTTGACCCTCTGATGAAACTTTTGCTTTTGTTTCAGTAATTTTTTAAGTTGATGTGAGTACCATGGTGGATATTTTTCTCTTTTGGGTTCTGTATATGGGACGTGTTGTTTTATTATATTGTTAATTATAATATAAAATTTATCTTACCGGTCGTTTACATTGTTGCATAATGAGAATTCATCATGCCAGTCAATGAGTGCAAGATCATTATTTATTGCCTCATAATCAGCTTTATAAAAATTTGGTTTACTAATAACTTTACGATTATCATTTTTGAGATTCTGTGTGAGATTTAGTACAATCTCTATTGCTGGGTGAAATTTATCCGTATCTCTAATAGGGGATAGACAATTTGTAATTTTTATCCTTTCTGTATCGGATAGGACTAAGTCTAGTATTTTACTTTGGTGATTTTCTACCCAGTTATATTGCTTTAGATTATTAAGTGCCAGAAAGTCAGGGAGAAGGCTAGTTAAGTAGTCTGAGCTACTTGTAGAAGCCAAACATGACTCACTATTAGGATCGTAAGTCCAGTCCATGCAGCTTAAATTAAAATCGCCTATTAATAAAGTCAGACTATCGGTCCTGGAGTCAATTACTGAGTTACAATTTTCGATAAAGTACTCAAATGTATCTGTACTTACCGGGGGAGGTAAATAGACTGCGCAAAGTTTTAAAGATTTCTTAGCTTCATTTGATTTCGCTTCAATCTTAACCCAAAGGTCCTCACAATTACTTTCCCACTCAGCAGCGCGCGATGATATTAATCTATTAGTAACTGCTATAAGGACTCCACCACCACATTTTTTATGATTATTTAAAGAAGACGTTTCTCTATCCCTCCTGTAGACAGTATAAGAGTCATCAAATAATTCCGAATCAAAGATGCCGTCACAAAGCCAGGTTTCAGTTAAGACGTAGACATCGTACTCATTATCCCGAATCTGTTGACGCACTTCCGATATTTTACCACGTAGACCACGTGTGTTTTGATAATAAAAGTTTAGAGAATCGAATTTTAACAGTGTCAACAAATTACATGATTAAAAATGAATATAATAAAAACGAACCCATAAATTAATCCCCTACTATTCCAAGCAACTCAATTTTTCTTTCTCGCCTATGACGATAGCCGGAGAACCCTCGTCCTTTTTTACAAAGATTCTTCCGTTTCGCACCCATACGAATTTGTAGCCAAGTTCCTTTGCCCGTGACCGCGTAGCGGCGTGTAGAGACTTATTTTCCTGGGAAAGATGTTCGGTGACAAATATAGGTGTTGGTTTGTCCATAGATATGTCGAGATGACTTGAGTTGAGTTTGGCTTTAGAGTTTGCTTTATTGTAGTTTTTGCATGCTGCAAGAAATGAATCCCTCAATCGGGGGCTGCTAAGTTTGAGGAGCACTGAGCGCGGTCTCGGGTTGTTCGTATCTTTCTTAGCAATTCTTGTACAAATCAGTATGTCTGTCTCCCTTAAGTCATATTTTACCACTTTGCTTAGCTGAAGAACTGTTTTCTCCAGGTTTTCGTTTCTATGTTCAGGTATGCATTGTATTTCGACATTATTGGATCGTGCGTGCTGTTCAGAAGTATTCATGCGCTTTATTACAATGGCCAGAGATTTGCCAAACTCGTCGTTTTTTGTTTCAAGTTTTTGAATTGTGGAGCACTTCTCATCTAGTGTTTGCTTAATCTCTTCGTACTTATCATTGAAAAACGACAAGGATTGTTGGAATTCCGCAACCATATTCTTGATTTTGGTAAATTTTTCCTCTATTACAGTTTTCATGATATCCTGTACCGCGTGAGTGATTTCTTGTTTAATTATTTGTCGTAGAGAACTGATTGTCATGTCTGCCAGCGGTATTTCATTTGTCTGATCAGGAGAAGAGGCTTGGGGTGTTTTGCGTCGACGGGTAACGTGACCAGGTTCGTCGGCAGTTGGTTGGTTGCTATTGCTTGTGGGGCTACAGACTTTTGCAGGTCGTATTGGGGTGTTAGTGTTGTCGGATTTTGGTTCCTTGATCTGACACCCAGGGCATTTCCAAGCATTTCTAGAATTGGCTTGCATTGTTTTAAATTTCTTTTCAGGTATATTAGCACACAATAAATCGTACCATTGGTGACAAAGATAGCATTGCATACCGTTTACAGCTTTAAAACCATTTTTACAACCTGCGCATTTTACCGTCGACATTATTGATTGTTTAGTTCAGTTTGATAAATGTCAACAAATGGAAAGTTTACGCTAGTGCCACCTATTGAGAACTTATTGAAGTCTTTTGGAATCGGTATTTAGTTTTAAGTTTGACTACTTGATGATAGATGTCGCTAGCTGAGCCAATTGAATAACTATATATTGACAGTTGATCTGTGATCAGCTATTTGTCGATAGATGTCGCTACTTTCAACGGCTTGAAAACAGTTTTGTTAGTTCCACTGCTCCCCGCGAGGGGAGTTGATGGTTATATTTTTAATTGTGGGTAAAAAAAAAAACAACTGTCACTTATCCGCTAGTTGATGGAATATTTGTTCTTGTTCGAATAACACATAAGATTCTTTAACACTGCGATTCACTAATTTCCCCAATATTGCATTTACCAGTCACTTTTTAGTATAAATAACACAAGTTGTAACTAAATTCACTATACCAAAGTTAATTCACTACCAACAAATAGTCCTAAAATTCTTATAAGGCTATTGTTTTTGACCTTTGATAACACTTGTGCACAACAGTTAGACACTCAGAATGATTTTCAATCACAACTTGAATCCAGTAACTTAGCTTTTCTATTATTAATCAATTTAAAAGAAATAGATATCAAGAGCTCGATGTTGACTTGGCGACAGCGCCATCTAATTATTAAACTACTTAACTATCTTATTGTTATCGTAAGATGTTTATATTTATTAATAGTTAGTACAAGAAATTGTTGGCAAGCAGGTTACCTATGTATTTGCTGCTTTTTTCGTAATCACTTTCCACAAAATGTTTCCGACATAACCTCGAATTATTTGTTTGAATTAAATCTTCACGGCGAATGGCTTTTAATAATAAACCCGAATATTTTCCCGAATGGGAAAATATTCGGGTTTATACCGCTGCCGCGCCAGATAAGTGCGTGGTGGGATGAGCTCCGGTGCGATCTCATGGCGGAATGGCAGCAACGACTGTCGCAACCGAGGGCTGGGCTCGCTGCCATTGCAGCGTTAGGTCCCTTCTTTGAGGAGTGGCTTGAGAGACGCTACGGCGTTCTCACTTAACGTCTGACGCAGGTCCTCACCGGACATGGAAGTTTCGGGAGGTACCTGTGTCTGATGGGGCGGTAGGAAACGCCCGGATGTCATCACTGCGAGGACTGCCCTAAGGACACGGTGGAACACACTGGAGCGGAATGCTCTGCGTGGGAAGTGATCGGAGATAGCGACCTCTCGCGTCCGGGCCTAGTGCAGGCCATGATGCAGAGCGAGGGGGACTGGGATGCCGTCTCCTCCTTTGCGAAGCAGTTATGCTAGCTAAGGAGGAGCCGGCACGCGTGAGGCAGCGAAGCGCTGCCTCCTCGCAACCCAGCCATTGCGAAGGACACGGCGGGCGTCGGGGATCGCGGGACGATCTCGGCGCGGGCTTGCGGACGGCGAGCATGGGTGGCTCCCCGTCCGACCAGAAACAGACCCGAGCGTACGGCGCGTCGCGCCCAAAGCGCCACCAGACCACCACAGATGGGGCCCAATAGGGCCGATGCCGATTCTGAGTCGCGGAGAACCTAACGGGTAACCGGGGCTCCCGCTCGACGTGCAGGAGAAGGAACGAGGTGGTTTTTAGTCAGTAAGAGTCTGACACTCCCTCCCGCCTCATCCAGGCGGGGAGAAGTCATTCGATGATTTTCCCCCCTTAAAAAAAAGTATATGCGCATCACAAAGTACTTATTTATTGAATTCTGAACATAAAAATAAAATATGATCATCATTTTCCCAAATGGGAAAAAAGCTGGGTATTTTCCCTTTGGGTTTTTTCCCAGTGCCCATCTCTATGTCCAAGGCTGTTGACATCTTCACCACAATGACAACGATGAGGTGAACGAACGTGGTGTCGTCCAACAAAGTACCTAGGTTGGACGAAGGTAAAGCAAGAAGCCATAACCCTGACTCCCACTCACCCACAGCCAAAAGGCGAGCTCTCTCTGCAATTGAACAAGATGAGTTCAAGAGATTTTCGCTCACTTTTCTGCAGGTTGCTAATGAGACGACGTGCTCCATCGTAGACTGCATCATCGCTTACCACCAGGCGAGATAGGGGCAAAACGTCGGCTCATCAAATATACAAAAAAAATCTTTGATTTGTTTTATAACCCAATACGAGATTATAGTCTAATTACAAATCACTCTGTATAAGGATGTTGAAAAAAAGGCCGACATAATATCTTGAAACAACGATTCTGACACCCTGGCTACTATAAGTAGATTTACGCGCAAAATACACACACACACAAAGGCACGAAGGACATCTGTCGTGTGACTTGGCCCGTCACTAGGGTGCGTCGACATCTGGCGAATGCACCGCGAATGCGTAGCTCGCGAATGATTCGCGAGCTTTCGCGATGTTTGCCACATTCATACAAGTATGATAAAAAAGTAGATACGTGTAAATATCTTTTTTTAAGTCATAGACAAGTAGCTGTACCAGAGCTTAAAAGACCATAAATCAAGTTGAACAGTAATTTAAGAAAATAGATGCGTCATTTGACATTGCTTGTGGTTGTGTGGCCAGCTGGCTGAGGCTTTGTTATAGCCAGCGGTATCTTTTAGTTGTTTTCAAAGTTTCTTTCGTATTGGTTAGAGGGTAGGGCGGTGCGTTGTCCTAGGTTTCGGCCGGACTAGCGTATCGTCCGGTCTTCCATAGTGTTATTGTAACTATAAATTAGATAATTGCGACATTCGACAAGTCCAACCTTGCTGGCGTTAAGTAATTAATTAAACGAGATGACCCGTAAGTACAGTGACACACTTTTAAATAATAATGTTTACAAAATATTAAATACTACAGTGATTATCAAACACAAAGCAAATCTGATATAATTTGCATTAGTCCTGGAAGGACAAATTCCATGGAACATTCTAGATGGAACGTTCTTACGTTATATCCATGACACGAGTCGTATTTGGGTGACGCTACGCTTTGTGTGATGAAAATTGATTATATCCTCTCTATTGAACCATTATTTTACATGTTTTTATGACTTATCGCGTGTTAATAATGATGTTATGGTATTCTTTTGTTGTAAAATAACATACCATGGTATTATGAACGCGCACACTTGATGATTATTTATAAACAACATGTGTTGATTTCGTTACAGGTGGAAACCAGAGAGATTTGGCTCGCGCCAAGAACCAAAAGAAACAACAAGAAATGCAAAAGAAAAAGAATGCTAGTGAAAAGACAGGCATGTCTTTACAAGAAAGGAAACATAGGTGGGTTGTATTCTCTTTATAACCTTTGAGCCATTCATATTAAATTACATCATCAGCATCATCAAATCTGCCATTCAATTATTTTCAATGACATAGAAGTTTAAGTATGTACTTATGCAAACAATGCTGCAAATAGAATCAGCACAGCAATCAGCATGGTATTATTTATTTTTATTGGTATTTTTGGTGGAGTTGCCAGAGTAATTTAATGGCCTACCATGGTAACTTATTATTTTACATTACTTAATTAATGTATTTTTACTAATAAAACTAAATTGCTGCTGCAGCTATCAAGTAGTGGTTTTTGTTTACATTGAATTGGTAGAAACTATGGAGCACTGTTTACTATGTCTCATATAAATTTGTGTAGCTTACATTACCATTTAACTGCATTTTTCCTTTTTGAATTTACTTTAATGTGATCAGCATTTCTTCTAAATTGGTTGCCGTTGACTATTACCACTTTACTGTTTATTAACTCGTCGAGTACCGTCATTATAGACATTATTATAGAACAATAGGTTGCGGTCACCGGTGACTACAATACCTTCCGTAAGCTTCATTTTATTAGTTCTACCATTCATTTTAATTTGTTGCTTTATACTTTATTACAGGGATGCTGAATTAATGAGAGAAAAGCAACGAAAAAAAGAAGAACAGTTAGCAGCAAGTATGAATAACCAAAAACAAACTGCAAATTAAATATTCAGGCAAAAACATGAAGGTTTTTTGACTGCTCCTCATTATGTTTAATCACATAAAATTTTGAGCTTGTCAGCGGTGAGCCGAACTTGGATATGTGATTGAAGCACTCCTTAAAATTAGAATAACATTAAAATCTTGTGTTTAACAGAGCCTAATTTAATTATAATCCCAAATAATGAAGATTTTATTATGTTAAATGTTATAATAGTTGGGAGCCTAGGATTTGAACATGTATGATCTGAAGAAGTAGTCATTACTGTGCCTGATCAGGCACAGATGGCATGACAAATTGGTTAACAGATTTGTCACAAGAAGTCTTAGCATTTATGCAAATCTTAATGTTAATTTTGACTGAATAGGTTTGTATGTATACTCAACTACCCATTTTTGTACAATAAAATCTTAAAAGTACAACTGTGTTCTGTTTTGTCATTGGCAAATATGTCCTCTCAATAAATGTGAAACTGAATGGCTCTGGCGTGCCACGACACTCGGGTAGCACTTGTAGTGTTGTGTAATTATTGCACAGTATGATTTTGTGGCAGTCGAGTCAAAAAACACTTGATCGCTAATGTAATAAGATAACAAGTGTTGAAATAAATGGTTTTCCTAAAATGATTACATCACTTATAATAATTGGGAAAGATGTGAAGTTTAATTTGCAAGTCCATAGTATTTGTGTTGGTAAAATAAACATTAGATTACATTTGTAGTGTACATTACGGTTTTAATAGGTACATTAGCCAACAGTACCTACTCTTGATTGATTTGGTATGTAATTGTTTCATAGTTATTATAATGTAATGGGTAATGTATTATTATTCATAAGAAATAAAAAACTGGAAATGATAAAAAATGTGTAATTTAATAATAATGTATGCAGAATGCAGAAACAATTTTTCATTTATTTGGTAGGCATTATAAGATAGAGAGAAAAATCATAATTATCACACTTATATGTACAGTGGCGTAATGACTTGATCTGTGGTAAATACTAAATATAATTATGTATTTTGATTGCAGTTTAATTTAATTTGATCTGAGTATTTGGCTTTTTCAAGCTATCTAACAGATGACAATTATTATTATTTATTACGCCACTGTTTTTCTTTAAATTTTCTTCTACCTACATTTTAACCAGATAGGAAAAGCGAATACTTATTAGTTTTTTTTGTTAACAAATGTATAGATAAATACTAATTAATAACTATTAGAGGAAAGATTAAACATCAGGTATTTGTATATTATTAAGTAATTCGACGTTATTAATGACTAGTGGGAATGATAATTATTTTGTATAAATTATAATTACTGGTAGCTCATTTTAAATGGCTCGAGAAAATTGCACGTAATAAATACGTATATATTTTGTTATAATACTACGCCTTATACATATTTGCAATACGTATACAAATTAATACCACGTTTATTACATTTCATAGCTGTTGACAGTGTGCTTATAATAAAATTAAAACAATACCTATATTTATTATGAATAAATTTTGTAACACCACACTATAGTTGCATTATTCGAATATTCATGTAAAACAAAACTAACACAAGTGACATTAACACACCAACAACAAAATCTTCACACATTAAAATAATACATCTATTAAAATCTTGTCTTTTAGAAACAAACTTGCAATAAAATTGAGTACTTTTTTGATGAACAAACAAAATTATTTTGTACCTATTTTCACTTTCATCAAATATAGACAACATTTAACAGCCAGGCAAAACAAAAATCATCACTAACTGTTCTATTATGCATTTTGAATCAGTCCCCTAAAACAGCTGTAGAAATTCACATTCAATAAAAAAGTAATTTTGGTTATTTCTTTAGCTTCCCTTTGCTATTAATATCTAACTAGCTGAGCTAGGTTACTAGCATTGTTATGCTAGTAATATTGTTATAATAACACTAATGAGTAGTATGGAAGATAGTTTGTTCTATTATACATGCCCATTTGTTAGGCATTTCTTTTCAAACTCCTCTCGTTGTCTGTACAGTTCTATTACCAGATCTTTGATGAAAGGATGATCAAATTTCCCTTCAGTGGCAGTGAAGAACTCCTGCAACTTTTTTGGTGCATTCTCACGTTTTTCATACTCAAATGCTTGCAAAATCATGTCATAGCGATCCAAGTCTTTGGCGAATTTAGCCTCAGGTGATGTTTGGTTTTCATATTCCTGAAAGATTAAATGATTTGGTTAAAGGTAGCTGCATGTTTTTGCATGGCATGAAGATACATTTTTTTTATAAACTGACCCACTCTAGTTTTTTCTCCTGAGTCGTGGGTGCGTTTACAAACATACAATTTCACATACACATGACGCCCCAGACCCAAGCTACAATTTGTGGATCACACAGAGTTGTTTAGTACGGGAATCTAACCCGAGACATGTTGCTAGGCAGCTGGTTGCCCAGCCACCACACCAACCGTGCAGTCATGTCAAAATATAATGATTTAGCTTTGAAAGTAGATTAAGATGAGTTTATTAGTTTCAATGCTTATCTGAGATCTAGACATGATTTTTTTACAAAGCCAGAGATAATTATTGGCTAATGTGTAGTGCATACTGGTATCAGTCTATTTAGAAATATATTGACAGAAGGCAAAAGTTAAGTTTTAATTTTTATTACAATTATTTATTGTCTAACTGAATAATCTACTTTATTAGTAACAGTATTAGCAGTTTTTTACATATATAGATAAAACTAACTCATTCGCTACAAATGGTAAGTAACACGAGTTAATTTATTGGCCTTCAAACGGATCATTGATAACAAATTCAATACATAACATTTAGAATGTATATTTAGTTGGATATAAACGGAACACTGCCTCGTTGGCCGAGTGGTCGCAAGTGCGACTGCCGAGCAAGGGGTCTCGGTTTCGATTCCAGGATCAGGTAAAGTATTACTGTTTTTTTTTTAAATCTCAGTAGTAGCATGGAGTCTGGAATTGTGCCCAGTATATGGTAATAGGCTCACTCCTATTACATGTGACTCATACCATAAATAGTGAAAAGTGGGTGTTACAAAGTACAGTTGCATTAAGTGCCGTAATGTGCACCTCTGCCTACCCCTACGGGGATAAAAAGCATGATGTTATGTATAAACGGAATAATTCCAGACCTTGTTGCAGTGAGGTAAAAAACCTTCTCCAGACAACTTTATCAGAATGATTTAAGATATTTGAATCTTATCTAATCATTATAAGACATTGAATCATATAAACACTGCAATACTGCACTTATTGCAAAATTATTTGTTGGAAAAATGTTTTCTTTATTGTTTTTATCTTTTCCAATCAGAGATAGTATTATATGATTTAAGATTAATTACTACTTTTAAGTGTTTTTTTACAAAATGAAGGCATATTCAGTCAGTTACATTTATACCATTTAAATTACTAGCTTTTGTCCACAAATTGCACACAAAATTTAGGGTTATACTATACATACTTATGTATAAAGACTCATAATGATATTTTCTTGTATCTATTAAAATAAAGATTCTCATAATCTGTTGCATAATTTTAAAGATATATGCATACAGATTGTGGGAAACACTTTGTTTTATACTAATTGTGTCAAGATACTTACTTTGTAAAGATTGTACATTCTGTCACCAGCAATGCCAGTAAGTTCTGCTATTTCCTGCATAGCCGCATCTTCTCGTCGATGTTTCTCTTCAGGTGACACACCACAATGAGGTGTGAGATCTCCAACTATACATTCGGCTAAATCATGGACAAGAGCTGAAATGTTAAAAATGAATCAAGTGGGACAGTTTACCGAGTTGTAGATTAGAAACAAAGTAATGATGAAAACCTGGCAGTGTTTTTAATTCATTTCATAAAGGTCTTTGTCTGTCAGAGACAATATCGCCTATTATTGTAGAGGTTGAATATGAATAACATTTTACCTATTTGGAGACACCTGAACCTGTCCAGATTGGTAGGGTTGTTCTCATCTGTGAGCAGGAAGGTCATCAAACCCATGCGGTACATGTGCCCAGCAATGGACTCACATTCATTTATATCACAAAGCACCCAGCCAGTCCTTTTAACATGCTGAAAACGACAATTTCTAATAAGAGTCTATTCTAATCAGTTTACATGGTTAAAAACATTGTCAACAGAAAATGTTTAATGGGTGAATAAAACGTATTCTTAAACTAATTTTTAAACTAGTAGAACACAAATTACGCAAAAGGTTTTTTATGAACCGTTAGATTCTGTACGCCAAAAAGATATAACAGCTGGTAAGTATTTTTTAGGGAGCAATCGCTTCTATATCTAGTTACCTTTAATATAAAATCAGGACTTACCTTCAAACGACCGACGAGTTCCAAAAATTCTAAGATTTTTGTTTTTTCAATTGCTAAAGCCATTGTGCGCTTTTTTATTTAGAATATAATTTAACCTTGTAATAAATTCTACTTGTATAACTGGTACAGTTAACGTCTAACGGTCTAGGCACTTATAATATAATATTTATTTTCCTTAGTAACGACCGTAACGCTTCGCTTGGTACTAAAACAGTAAAATAATAATTGATTTTAAGTGCGTACACAGTATCTAACAGTAACCTCAGTCAACCAAACTTCACATGTCACTGACTGATGTCATATCACATTTTTTTATTTTTAGAGATCGACAACGACAAGTTGTAACTTGACAAGGAGGAAGTCAGTAATATCGGAATGTTTTTTATGTTTGGTTTTTTTGGAGAGCGAACACGATCACCAACTGATTTTTGTTGTTTTAAAGATCAATGTCGAATGTCGAGACTCCTCTACCCTTTTGTTTACATACTCCTCTTCTTTGACTCTGTGGTCTGAAGTCTGAATTTGACATCTTGTCACTCGACTCAACACGCGCGAAGGTAGCCCGCGAAATTTCAATTTTCTTACATTTTTTTGCAATTATACAAAGATTAGAGCTCGATGGGTTAAAATTAATATTATGATGATAAAATATATTTGCGGTGTTGATGTGTATGTTGTTTCACAATACTACATAAAAATCATAAACATATTTATCCTCAATTTAGAGCAATTGTAGTACAATGTACCTACCTACCATTTTAGTATATCATTGAGTTTAACGTTCTAGATAGACCTTTTCTATGGCTATTATCCACGTTGCATCTAAGGACGTTGAACGTCATATGACAAGAAACCTAAAAAAATCAAAATTTCGCAAGCTACTTTGAAGCACCCACTTTAACATAGTTTTATACAAGCGCTCTATTGATCAGATTCATTATCATTTATTCATAAGCTAAATAGGTTAATAATAAATGATGAATTAGGTACCTACTCTCTTGCTGGTGGTCAAAGATCTCCTCTTCTACATAAACTCCTCTTGTCTCGCCGCAACAAGGTCATTTCGCCCACCGTCTTCTAGGTCGGTCTCGACGGCGCCATCTATTCCAAGAAATCTGTTGAATAATTTACAACCCAATACTTTTAATTTCTAAGGCCCCTTTTCACCAACGAAACTGATCACGATTACACCTAACAAAACTGATTTAAAGCGTCTAATCGAATTTAAAGCGTTTAAACGAAGTTACAGCTTCATTTTACATTTCACCGCTACAAACAGAAACTAGTTTACACGGAACTCAGTTTTTGACAGTGCTCTCGGCGTTTAGCCTCGCTAAGCCAGTTTAGCCACTGTCACTAGTGTCACTTGTTGTTGTGTCATAATAAAATTACAAACCCGTTTTGGAGACTCGGTTGCCAAAGAAGAAAAAAAAAAAAAAAAAAAAAAATTACAAACATTATTATTTCAATTACTTGGTATTACGTTAAAAATAAGATGAAAAGGGCTTTAGTGCTTGCTTTTGACGAAAGATATGACTAGAAATTTACGCTAGTTCGTCGTCCGAGGTGGATTCGAGTGAGAGAAGAACATTTCGACACTCTTGATGATAAAGATTTTACAACAAGATTTCGTCTCACAAAACCAACAGTTCTATGTGTATTGGAGTCTATTGAAGATAAATTAGAATTTCCTACAAATATGTAAGTATGATTTTTCATTTCAATATTAGAAACCTACATAGTTTAACGAATCTAGTTCCCTACCTACTATTTACATATTTTACAAGCAATAAGTTCTTATATGGCTAATTTACTTGTTTCAGAAATAGTAGTGTGTCTCCCATCAATCAGTTACTATGCGCTCTGCGTTTCTATGCGACTGGATGCTATCAAATGACAGCTGCTGATTTATGTGGATTTAGTACATCTACTGCCCATAGAATTGTACACAGAGTCAGTGCTGCTATTGCCTCACTCCGACCGCGCCATATTTACTTTCCTGAATTACCAGATGAAATACGCAAAACACAAATTGAATTTTCCAAAAGAGCTAAATTCCCATATGTTATTGGTGCTATAGATTGCACACATGTAAAGTTTATCAAGTCACCAGGTAAGATGTTATAAATGTATATTAAACTAACACATATTTATGTAATTTATACTTGCAATGTATGCATAATAAATATATTTTTAGGTGGCGAAAATCCAGAGATATTCCGTAACCGGAAAAACTACTTTTCTTTAAACGTTCAAGCCATCTGCAATGCAAAATTGGAATTTACAGATGTGGTCTCTCGTTGGCCAGGAAGCACACATGACTCATATATCTTCAACAACTGCTATAGACGGGCATTGTTTGATCAGGGACACTATGGAAATGCTGTTCTTGTAGGAGACGCAGGTTATGCGTGTAACAGTTACATGATGACTCCATTAGAACAATGCAGTAATGGTCCAGAAGACTTATATAATGAGTCTCATATTAGAACGAGGAATTGTATAGAAAGAGTATTTGGATTATGGAAAAGACGTTTCCCAGCCATGGCTATGGGGTTGGGAGTTTCTGTGCAGAATAGCTTCCCAATCATCATTGCTACTGCTGTACTACACAATATTGCAAGAAGAAGTGGTGAAGTCATACCTCCTAATGACAACCAAATTATAAATCCAGATTCTTGGGATGCATTAATAACTCAGGGTGATATTAGCAGTGAAAATATTAATATAGGACAATCATACAGGACAAATCCAAATTATAGAAGACGTAATGAACTTATCACAAACTACTTTGGACGGTGAGTTGACAGTTGTATGTAATCATTACTATATCATTACGCTTTTTATCCCTGAAGCGGTAGGCAGAGGTGCACATCACGGCACTTAATGCCACTGTACAATGAAACATAAATAGTGAAAAGTAGGTCTTTTCACTATTTATGTTAGCACTCCCATATAATGGGGTGAGCCTATTGCCATATACTGGGCACAATTCTCAATCCATTCTCTTGGATGGACTGACGAAACAGAATTAAATTCTTCTGCAATTTTTTGCCACTCCTGATTTTTGCTGCGTATTGTTGTGGCATCGGTTTTTTTACACTCTACAATAGCAAAGTGTTTCTCCACCAGATCCACTAACGCCATTTTTTCACTTGCGACAAAGGTTGGATCTCTCTTCCGCTTCAAATTTTCGGTTCTGTTAGACATGGCGTAGTATAGTAGGCAAAGGTCGTCGTAAAAGTTATCACACAATAGTCCGAAAAAGAAAAGCAGGGTCACAGAAATCACACAGAAAAAGAAAGATGGGCACTCGTCAAACACAAAGTTTACGAATGATTTGAAATTTTCTACATCGGGGAATAAAAACAAAGTTGCCATTGTATGAATAAAAGTTAGAACAAAAATATTAATTTTTCATTATTTAAATGCATTATTCATTGCTTTTTTAAATAAGACGTGCTTATTATAGGAATTAAGTAGTATACTATATAACAATTGCTTTATATTGGATAATGTTTTTTTTTTCAAATCATGTTTGTATTATGTTCCCCGTTTCATATGCGATTTCATTCTGAGCTTGTAACACTGTGAAGTGTGAATGTATCAAAATTCGTCCCGTTGTTACAAGTAAAAATATATGTATATATTTTAATAATATTAATTTAAAATAATAAGATATAATATAATCTTAATTTAAAATAATATTTTAATACATTATTTTTTTTTTTTTACATCAGCAAATGACTGTTTATATACGCAAACCGCAGCAGGTCGCTTAATTCCCTGATGCATGTTGTAGAAACCAAACGCTCTCGTAACTCTCTCGTTGTAAACTAGTTTTGGTGGGATGGTGTCGGAGAAATCGGTTTGACGTAAACTCAGATTACCCAGATCCACACGAGTCTTTAAACTTAGGTTACTTTAAACTTAGGTTACGTGTAACTGAGTTTTTACAGAGCTTGGTGAAAAGGGCCCTAAGTTATAGTTGAAGGATAACCTAGGTACGTACTATTGAAGATTATAAAAGGTTTGATTAGAAGTGAGAACATAATGGCAACAAATTATAGGTTACGACTTAGGTACGACCTGACTGACTAGTTTCTACTAGTACCTAAGTTAGAGACACGGTACACCTATGTGTAAGGAAATGTTTTATCCCGGTAACGCGCTAAGTAATTTATTCACCCATGACTCAAGTTTCGCAGTTTCTCCCTTCACCTGACGATGAAACCTCAGGACACCGTATGCAATATTAATAAGGTTCAGTTTGATTAATATGATCAATGGACAGACCAGCGAATCGTACTATGAATCGTAATGGAGCCCGATACCGCTACGTAGTAAATTTAAATTCTATCTCTGTTTCGAGCGGCCAGTGAAAATGTGGGAGCCCTCGGTGCCGGTCCTTCAATTAGATTTAGCTTCAAAATGAGCGTTCCAGACAGTTTAAAGTTCAACAAAGTTTTGTTCGATGTGTGGAAAGTTGGTTTTGCTCTCAGTGAGTCTGGTGTTTGTTGCCAGGAAGTGAAGTTGGAATGATTCCGTTGCTGTTTGCTCTTTGTACAGGTTCGTGAGTAGTATGTTAACCACGTTCTAGAGAAGCCATTAGTGAATTTAGACCATTTTGGTTCCCGTTTGATTTTTTGTCGGTTTTTAGTGCGATTCTTCTTCGATTAATATGACTTACTCGCTCACAATTTAAAACGTTACCGGTATACCGGTTCAGAATATCAGAAATAGGTCAGAGTGAATTTGAAAATGTTACACGAAAAAGATTTGCAATTAAGTTACATATATAAACAAAAACATATGTGTACTTTTTAATACCTATCTACTTTCCAAAATTAGGGACTTACCTACCTTATCTACTGACGTCCAACCAGCAAACCTAAGGTAGTTTCAAAGACCACGCCACGGCATACCGATTGATTTCGTTGTTTTTGGGATTCACAGTGTAAATGCCTAAGAACACCTAGGTAAGTATTTATTTCCTGATCCATGTATCTTCGGAATGAAAAAAAAACAAATGTCAAAACGTGTTTCCCTTAAAAGTAAAGTCTATAGTTATCTAAAGTTCCGAAGGTTCCCTTGGGTTCCGTTGATAAAAGTAACATGAACGTTCCAAGTCCCAATCAAACAATGAATATTAATTGTTTGACGCTATTCAACTTTCACAGTGTTTGTAGGTGAAGTAAGTAAATGTTCAAGCATTCATAGAATGTTATAGCAAAGATAACAATCTATATCCTCGAGACCATTATGGTGAGGCAGACTTATATTAAATTAACGAAGCAACTCAACACGAATTTTGAATAATTGATTACAAGTTCGTGTTTTCGAAGATAGATTGGTTACTTGGCATAATGTGACAAATATTTACGTTCGTGTTCCTCTCAGCAGATGTGTTTAATGTGCGACATATGGATTAGGTACATACCTACATAAATTAAGAAAAAAGAGACCCAAGCATTGGAAGCAGCTAAGGATAAATTGATCAAGTTCATTTTAATTTCATTTCCCTAAAGCGAAATAAAACCAACATCGATCCACGTTGAAGTTATGAGTAAACTTCAGATCATTGAGTTTTTCAAATTATTATCCTCTGGAGAAATTCAGTTTCGATAAAACAGCAAATCTTTTACAAACTTTATTAGGTTAAACATGTAGAAGCGTAGAAAAGTTCTCTCTCGTTACAAAATGAAGATAAAATTGTTATTTTTATTCCTCATATGGCTACAGTCTTGTAGAAGACTATACAAACATACATATAGTCAGCCAGTACTTATGTGTATGTGTACCTACTTTTAAACACAACGCTGGAAAAAGAGAAACAGTTTTATGTAAGAATAGACTAGCGTGATCAACAAAAAATGAATTACTTATGTTTTTATGTTTATATTAAAACTTTCGTGAGACATACTAAATTAATTTTTATGTTTTCGGCTTGCTCACGTAATTGTTTGAAGAGGAACTCCGCTTTGGCGTTGCGGAATACTTCTCATGAATATGAGCCTCTAGCAAGGCTTGAAACTAGTCGAGTTCCTCGTCAAACAGTAACGTGAGTAAGCCGAAAACATTATTATTACTTGTATTAGGGGTACCTAAGTTTATTAGCTCAAGCGAGGTATAGGTAAATAAGAAATCACGTAACTTAAATTTTGAAAACTCTGTCATTAATATCTACTTTGGAATGAATCCCTATAATTAAATTCATGTTCTACGTTAGGTACGTACTTACTACGTAGGGAAGTAGGAATTAGTCTCATGGTGTGATCATCATACCACAGCGTTTCATCAATTATTATGCAATGACTAATGATGAATGAAGATTAATGATGTTTTTTAAGTAAAGACTTTAAACTAGTGTCTCATTGGTTTATCTGCTTGATGACTATGTTTTTTTAAACCGTTGTAGCGTTATTGTCACTCGGATTGTCTGCCTCGACCTCGATAATTCGAAGCGAAAATCTTGTTCCTTAGAGAGAACCGGTACCTTCCTTAGTGTTACCTATTGTAGGCCGTAATCGTGCCATTGATACAGTTACAATGTGGTTATTATCTTAAAGCTTTAAAGTAAGTATCTAAGTACCTTGTATAGTACGATACTAAAACATAGGGTCTAACGTTTAAATTCTATTCTGAAATAACAAGAATTTTTAATTGTTGATACTCTGATTTTATCCGTGTGCCTAAGAGGTGTGCTTAAAGACACTTCTTAACCGAATAAAATGAGAAAAAATGTGACATTCAGACATTAGCAGTTTTTTTTAAGATCTACTTGAAGATAACTTCGGCAGTACCTAGGTATCTGGTATCTGCAAGATGTAACATGTAACATTGGCTCCCAAATAATTCCCAAACCAAACCTCCCCCTTTCCGCATTCCCAAATCCTGAATTCTCAAATTCATAACCAGCAAATAGTTGGTAACGCAATCGTAACTTCTCCAGTGTTGTCGGTGGGCGGCATAGATTACTTACCATCAGGTAACCTGTCTGCTCAATTGCTGCTCTGCTCTTAACCATAACTTAAAAAAACCAGATTTGGTTGTCATTTATGTATTTTATGTTAATACATTCTTTACAATTTCATTAATTAAGTCTAATTTAATGAATTTTACAGTTGTGTCGGCGGTGAACTGGGATGCGCCGCCGCTGTATGACCCCGTATGGCTGGCTAGTGTGCAACTGTACCCACCTGCTCCTGCCCTCAATGACACCCGTTTTTGGGGTTCTGGATGGGTCAACGATGCTGATGTTGAATTCAGACTGTTTACAAGGTGAGACCTTTTATCTAAGTACCAATAACGGTAATAAACAGAATTTATTGTATTAAGTTTCGCTGTGGCTTTAATGTTCAAAAAGGAAACTACAAAATTTGGTCTTCAAGTGTGGGAGAGCCATGCTTCGGCACGAATGGGACGGCTCGACCGGAGTGATACCACGGCTTCATAGAAAACCAACGTGAAACAACTTGCGTTGTGTTTCGTCGTGTGAGTGAGGTTACCGGAGGCCCAATTACCCCTCTCCCTAGTCTTCCGAATCCCCGAATCCTTCAAAATCCTCATATTCCCAATTCTCAAAAGGCCTTGGTAACGCACTTGAAACGCCTTGGTGTTTCGGGTGCCGATTGCTTACCATCAGGTGATCCGTCTGCTCGTTTACCGGCTTATGCTATAAAAAAAGGTCTTAGGTTGCATCAGTTCGATCTCAGGATCAGGTAAAGAAAGAAAGAAAGAAAAAGCATTTATTTGGCAAGAAGGCACACAAATACAAAGATTATAAGGTACAGTTTGTAATGTTTTGGATCGTGATATTCTGAGTAAAGAGTTAACGTAAGTGGCATAAAGAGTATGTATTAACTAAAAGAAGTACTGAAACTGTCAAACACCAAGCGGTCACCGGTGACCGCAACCTATTGTTCTATAATTGTGTCTATAATGACGGTACTCAACGAGTTAATTAATATCTAATCAAGATTTCCTAGAGACACGAATCCTACTGAAAGTTTGATACAAATCTTAATGACTATTAAGCAACTTCTTTTCCTCGAGTTCTTAGCTTAAACGTTTACTAGTTCTATCTCGATTCGCAGGTTAAGTTGTAGAGTTTAATGAGGCTACTTAGTAAATCGAAAGTTTATGCAAAATCAAACCAAACTATAGAAATCTTAGGGGTTAAGATGGTATAACTCTGAATTGCTTTAAAGAAACTGAGAGAACAGTGTTTAACTTTGTAGTTTCTCAACCCGCAACTTGAAAGTGCAAACTCTACGCGAACTGATTGTTTCAAATTCAATTGCTTACTCATATATTTTAGTGATAATCCCGCTTACAGTTTGTATCTACATTAAGGCATTGGCTGCCAATAAAAAACTATTGAAGGCAAATCCTCCGCTAATGTCGGTCACCAGTGACTGCCATGGCGTTTAACGTGTTAAATAAGGTATATGATTATTATGTCCTTGTAACATTTTTGAAGTTGGTATCTGCAATTAAGAATTTCGAAACGTACCTAATAGCTATAATAACAAATAACACATGTTTTTCCCCGTAAAGATAAGAAAGAAGTGCACCGTGTGTGTAGTACATTTTGGCAATAGCAGTAATGTTAAATTCATTGTTAGTCTTAGTTAGTACCTACAGTTTAATGCATGCTTAATGATATCTAGGTTCTCTGCAAACAGATAGGGAGAGCCTATTGCCACATAAGTACATGTGAGGTAAGGTAATGTACAGGTAAGTACATACATAGATACCTAAGTATGCCTACATATACAAGTGTAGTTTTGAAACCGTGACATTTCTCGGAGGCATGTCACAGAAGTCATAAATAGTTAAAAATACGGCTATAATAAATCGTTTAAGTTCGACAGTTTTTCAGAATAAGCGACAGCAATATTTCTTATTGGAGTTTTATGGAATTAGGAATAATATTAATTACGTGTTTGAGTTTGTGTGTGTTAAGCCGCGTAATAAAGCTAGTTACAAGACTGCGGCGTGTAGTTCGCACTTACGGATTTCCGTAATTTACAAAAAATGAAAAATATTTATCTACAATTTTTTTATTGATTTGGAATCAGAATCGCTAACCGAGTTACCTCCTTTATGAAGAAAGAAAATGACGCGGCTTTAAAACAACACCTTGTATAATTAGTAGGTACATTTAAGATCAGATGCTATCTACATAGTTAGGCCATATCTACTAGATCTAATAATTTTGACATACAAAGTACCATTATTTTGTCTAAACTGGTGTTCAGAGCTTATTTGTGATACGGAGTCGCGGAGAACGGTAAAAGGTTACCGGGGCTGCGTCTTGAAGTGCATGAGTAGGAACGGGATGGTTTTTAGTCATGCCGACAAGACTCTGACACTCCTTACCTGGGCGGGAAAAGTCAATCGACGATTTTCCCCCCTTAAAAAAAGACCTTGTTTGTAATCTTGTCCCTAGACTAACGGTTGTCTAAGATTATTTACAAAAGTTAATGTTACCTAGGAACAACGAAGGTATCTAGGTTTTCATAGACGTATGACAAGCCCTTAACTTAGAATTAACGAATTCGTAGAATTTTCTGAAAATTGACGGATAACATTTCTAGAACTGGGTACAAATAAAATCTGAGAATTGTATATAAATATTATGATTCATGTAATTCGTTCTTTTATATCTGACCATGTCTAGTCTAGACTTGTTTGTTTATATTTACAAAAATAACTGTTCATTTATACAAAAAACGTAGGTTTCAAATATTTTGCGACCACAAAATTACCAAAGAAAGAAGAAAGTCTGTTTTTTCTTGAATAAATACTTCAGAGAAAACCTGTTCTTATTCCAATCTACTAGGATTACTAGGAATCGACAAAATAATTTCTTCTTTTCCATTCATTCTGAGCAAGCGTGATAATTCACAAACACGATTCTTTAAATAAAATCATTCGATCGAGGTAAACGTTAAAAGTTTCCAAAAAAAAAAACTCGCGTGTGTCCGGTTTAAAAAAACATTGTCGCTATAAAGGAAAAATTGTAAAGCATAATTAAAATTCGCAATGCGTTCTTTCCAACATATTTTGCTATCGTTGGGTATGACAAAAATTTTAACGCCACCTTTTTGGTACAGTATGCTATTGTTTCGCGTCGCTTGTAATGTGTAGTAAGAGTCATATGAACAAAATTGTATTTAAATGGGCTATTGTGTACAAGCTGTGTGTCTATTGATAGTGTGCTTAGAGAAATCTATTTGGAGTATCTAAGTACAGTTTTAATGTTAGATCAGATACGACTTACTAGAACTCTTTGGCTGAATATTTTAGATCTTAATTTTTAGTTATTTAAAATATTTTAAAATCATATACATATAGTTGTGTGATCATAATTACGTGGTCCTTAGTCCTTAGGACTACAAAATGAGCGGGATACAAAAAGCTGAATCGAATAATCGAATTGGGCAGGATTTTTGCATCTCACACTTTGATTCTTTTGATAAAACATAATATTATTATCTACGTATACAATAAAATTCTAAACTATTAAGAGGCTACTAAGACTAAGAGGCTTTGTTACTTGTAACATTACTCTTTTAAATGCATATTCATAACGTTTATTTTTCCAGGCGAAACCCGTTCGATTTTCAAGTGTTAACAACCAACGATTCTGCATCTCTACACCAATCAAATTTCGACTTTAGCAAAAAAGTGAAAGTGCTAACTCATGGTTGGCTAAACCATGGGTACAGTCCTATGCCAGAGTCTATCAAAGAAGGTTAGTATTCATAATTTTAAAGGATTATTATTTCCAGTTCCATTCTCTTTTACGAAGAATCAAGAATAAGCTTGATAAAACAGTCCTATGAAACTAATGGTTCAATATCAAATTTCAATTTCAAAATTCTGTGAAATTAAAAAAGTTTATGTTTGGCAATAGTTCGGTTCAATTTTCTAGACTACCTACCTATATGATTGGTAAAAAGTTGGAGAGCTAACCATTACCCAATCGAAACAAACACTAGCCAGCTATTCATGTAACAAAACTTTTATAACCCACGAACACACCACACCCTAAGCTCCTACGTAACAGGAGCTGCAATGGTTGTAGGCGATTACTCCGGCTGTATCTGCATAATGAGATCTTGAAATCCATCACATCGATGCCAGACTGAATTTCGAACGAGGTCAATGTATCTTGATTCTCTGGCGTTTCCACCTACGCTGCGTAGAGCGAAAATATTTGGAATTTGTGATGCCTAAATATGGATCGAACCCAACTAATTCTAGGACCTTCTATCGTTCATTTTATTTCGGCACTGATTTGTACCTAAGGTTAACCCTTCGACCATTTCTGATATTAACTAAGCTCCCGCTCATTACAGTCGTCAGATCTCAGTTTTTTTATAGCTATTCAACAGAGTACTTCCTCCCAACGGTTTACGGCAGCGTTTTACTACTTTGTCGGTCCTTTTAAAAACCACTATAACTTTTCATTGTCCATAACTTTTTACCCTTTCTTTGGATGACCAAGGAACTCCGGGATTCATAATCTTCTTGAAAAGTTATGTTTTATTGTTTTTGTTTTTCAGCTTACCTTAATGTGAGCGACCTCAACATCATTGTGGTGGATTGGGGTGTCGCAGCCAACGTTAACTATATCTTGGCCAGTTACAACGTGGCGTCAGTTGGCCGTCTTCTCACGGAGTTCCTTAACTTTCTCATTGAAGAGGGCGTTTCTATGGATGATGTCCATCTTATTGGCCACAGCTTGGGAGCTCATGTAGTAGGCATAGCTGGAGCTTACATTAAGAAGGGACCTATTGATACTATTACTGGTGAGTGTGTTTTTATTTTTGTTTATTATGAATCGGGGTATCATAATTTCATCTGTTTTGAAACAGAATAGTACTAGTATGAATTATTATGTTATGTATTCTGTTAAAACATCAGCTGTCAAGACTTTCTAGCGAGCAAGACTGCACGTTTGTGGCGTCAATCAATGTCTACTTGAAAGAACTCGACTTCATACCTACTCAATTGCTTTCAAGAAACTCAAGTTTTTTTAAACTCTGGTCTAAGTCTTCACTATGAAAAGATCTTTATCAGAAAAAATAGTGTTTTGGAACTGACACTTTAGTGATTACACTGCAAACCAAATTATTGGTAATGATATAATACCTAGTAGACACTGCTCAAAAACTGGTTAAAAATGGTCAAAATTTTCACAAACAAAATGTATTGGCTACCTCTATACGTTATTCCCGAATAAAACCGTCATAGCCTTTCAAAACCTGCATATGATACGCATTTGACCCAAATCCCTTCGTTTCAAGCAGGACATAATAAATTGCGTCTTAATTACGTGCTTATGGCAAATAATTTGGCAATTTTAACTCCCCATTCTGCGTTGAATACCGAGGTGTTTACGTAACCAATTCTGTTAGCTTTTATAACAAAACCGCGGCAAATTAGCTTCTATTGTTTGTTAAACTCTAGCGGTTGCTGCGAAGACCTACTGTGTTGTTTGCTAATTTTACGCGTGGCACATTATCGTTTGAATATAACGTGGAACTAAAATTAAATGTTATTGTTTAGGAAGTTTTAAGTGCCAAGTTTTAGGGTGAGTTCAATTTTGCGTGTACGTGAAGTGAAGGATGTGTGTGTAATCAAATGTGTGTATGACGAAACAACTTTTAGGTAAATATGGAATATTAGCTTCTGCCAGCGCCTTCGCTCGCGCCCCCGTGGCGTAAAAAGTAGCCTATGTTAACGATACCTTTAGCAGGTTTGATTGAGTAACAAATAAAGAGACAAAGTCACAAAGTTTCGCATTAAAAATATTAATAAGATTTTATTTGTAACAGGCACTTAAGTTTAGATGATTAGAAAAGTTCCACTCAAAGTCTCTGCAAGTAATCGATACAAAAACAATGTTAATTAAAAAAAATCTTTCTATGTTTTTTTATATCGAAATAACGAGGAATAAACACTGACTAGATACCTAATAGTTTATATTAAAACTTTCATGAGACATACTTAATTATTTCTGTGTTCAAAACCACGACTGTTGAGAACAAGGTGTTTCTAAAAGAAAATGTGATTATGGAATTTCTTTCGTTGTAATATGAGTTTGTACCTAGTGTACGCCAGTAACTTTACGGTAATTTATTCTTTAAAGTGAGTTTTTCATTTGTAAAAGAGAAAAATTAGGTATAAAAATGATGTTACTTTGTTGGTACCTTTTTATTGCGTCGCAGAGAACCTAACGGGTTACCGGGGCTCCGGCTCGACGTGCAGGAGAAGGAACGAAGTGGTTTTTAGTCAGTAAGACTCTGACACTCCCTCCCGCTTCACCTATGCGGGAGCAGTCATTCGATGATTTTCCCCCCTTAAAAAAAATATTTTATTGCAAACAGAAGTCTAAAATGTATGTTTTCGGCTTTTTCACGTAATTGTTTGACGATTAACTAACAGTGGTGTTAAGGAATCTTGCTAAACATTTTTGTGTTTATTTAGAAACTAGTATTTTATTATTTTTCTTAATTACTGCGTAGTCAAGTAAAACCTACTAACGGCAATGACTTTTCTCGAGTTATATGTACATACTTTTTAAGATTATTTAGACACCACTGACAAACGGTGAAGGAAAACATCGTGAGGAAATCTGGGCTTATAATTTCTAATTATAAATTTGAAAACACCAACCCACAATGAACAAACGCCGTGATTAATGCTCAAACCTTCGCCATATGAGAAGAGGCTTTGCTCAGCAGTGGACACTTATAGGCTGAAATAATGAAGTAAATTCTTCTAAAACTGCATTCGTCTTCAACTTTTCCTATACATTGTTCCATACCTCATAATTTTTCTGTGTAATCAAATCATAAGTTTAAATCTAAAAACATAACAAACAGTTTAAATGAACCGGACCATAATCTACTGACTCAAATTTCATCACGATCCCTTCAGCTGTTTTGAATAATTGAGTAGCAAATATACACAAACGCATTTATAATCTATACTTCTATACTAATATTATAAAGAGTAAAGATTTGTACCTATTTTTATATGTTTGTATGTTTGTAATGAATAGGCTCAAAAAGTATTGAGCCGATTTAAAAAATTCTTTCACCAATAGAATGCTACATTCTTCCAATTTAACATAGGCTACATTTCATTTTGAAAAAAAAAATAGGGATCCATGGTAAAATTTAAAACAATATTGAAGAACATTATAATGTATACAAAAAACTCCGCGGTAGCATATGTCCAACTATTGTAGTTATGTCACTACACCAATCCAAATTTCCAAAAATAAATAATCGTGCAAAGTCGGGACGGGCTGCTAGTAATTAATAAGATAAAATAAACAAACATAATTTTTCCATTTCATATATGTAGGTAGCAGTTACAATAGTTATGGATAAATTGAATTGTTTTCTTTAGGTTTGGATCCAGCGTTGCCGTTATTTACGCTTGGTAACAAGGACGCTCGGTTGGACAAACACGACGCTCGTCACGTGGAGGTCATACACACTTGTGGAGGTTACCTCGGGTTCGCGTCTCCTCTTGGTCATATTGACTTCTATCCGAATGGAGGCACTCGACAGCCTGGCTGTGGGACTGACTTTAGAGGTATGTTGAAATTTCTTTATTTCCACAAACAGTGAGTAGAAATGTGTGAAATCAGTACATAACGTTGTCTACGTCGATTTTATTTAACATTCTTTTTTTTATTATTTAGTAACGATGAAAATCTATCCTATTGATTGGGGACAATTTGATATTTAGGTTTCAGGCACTTTCACTTGTTGCTTAGTTAGTCCTATTGTAGCAAGGGGCGAACTTACTCCCAAAATAAGGGAATACAAATTTTAGGACATTCGTTACAAAATAGTCAGACTATAGGACTCATGATCTTACTGGTGAAAGAAAACTAGAACACACTCTTATGGTTTTATAATAACTATCGTAAGACGTACTGAATTAACTAAAAGACTCACGTAAATATACTGAGTAAAGCACTAATGCAACGTCACCGTGACGGCGCACGCTGCTCATGAGGAAGAATCCCTCTGTGTCTCGAAACTAGTAGAGCTTTTCTCAGAATATTTACGTAAGAAAACCGTTATTTTTAGTTAACACACTCTTAGCCCACTCAATGATGAAAAAGGAATAGTGATGATGAATATACATTCATTCAAGTATTCAAAAATAGACGCAATGTAGGCAAATGTCTTGAAGATCTGCCTACGCCTCATATCTGCCTGAGATTAGTTAGATTGAAATTATGATTGCCTACCTACATTATCTGCCCACAAACAGTTATTTTTACATCACATTTATTTACGTACCAAGCAGTTTTCTTACTTTCTCTTTCATTGCAATAATAAATCATTCATTCCCTTTGAAAACTAAATTAATTTATTCTTAATTCAAAATAACTTTTTAATGAATTGCATTTTTATTTTAATGACTTTATTTCGGTATAGATAGGCATCGTTATTCATTTGTTTTTGTTTTTCAGTTGGTGCTAGTTTAGATGATTTATTTTTTATTCGAAATCGCAATGAAACCTTTTACAGTTAGATAGGTAGCTTTCGCTGTTGTTTATCTCTATAATAATCATCATCATCATCAACAGCCTATAAATGCCCACTGCTGAGCAAAGCCTCTTCTCACACGGAGAAGGTTAGAGCATTAATCACCACGCTTGCTCAATGCGGGTTGGCGATTTCAAACTTATAATTAGAAATTATAAGTTCAGGTTTCCTCACGATGTTTTTCCTTCACCGTTTGTCAGTGGTGTCTAAATAATCTTAGAAAGTACATAATATAACTCGGAAAAAGTCACATTGGTACTTGCCGTTGGTAGGTTTCGAACCCGTACCCTCATGCATGAGAAGTGGGCGTCTTAAACCTCCGGGCCACCACGACATATCTATAATAATGCGTGTCAGAAAAGGCCGGCTCGACCGTAATGATCCACGGCTTCACAGAAAATCGACGTGAAACAACGCTTGCGTTGTATTTAGTCGTGTGAGTGAGGTTAACGGGAGCCCATTTACCTACCTCCCCAATCTTCCCAATAATTCTCAAATTACTAATCCCCAATAAGGCCGTTTGTGTGTGTGTGTTTCGGGGGTCCATGGACGGCGTCGATTACTTACCATCAGGTGATCCGTATGCTCGTAACCGGCTTATTCCTTAAAAAAATGTTTTCCAATTGTAATTGCATTGTTCAGTATTATTCTGTGTCTGACGAAGTTCAGTTAAATGTACATTATTTTAATTTATATTAATTAGACTACTTATGACTTATGACATTCCCAATTCTCAATACATAGAACAAACATTACAATCAAGATTGATAGAAAATAATTATATGTAAGTACACATTTTTTGTTCAGTAAACAAGGCTGTAAACCATATCTATCTTGATCTTTAGCACTTACTAAGGACCTAACTTTCTTCTTATACCCTATTCCATTAGGACTTAATATCAGGAACAGCTGTGACTGTCTAGCTGTTCTAACGCTTTAGGAATTCGGTCAAGACTGGCCCTTAAAAGTTGATTAAACTAGTTAGAGCCAGTTAACTTCTGTTTTGACGATCTATTCTATACAAAGTAGCTTGTATCACGTTTATTGTTTCTAGAAGAGGATATTAGACTAATTTTGAGTTTTTGGTATAATTCAGTGATGTGATAATTGGATCGTGGTTTGATCGACTGCCTCGTTGGCCGAGTGTTCGCAAGTGTGACTGTCTGTCGGGCAAAGTACGATAGGGTTTTAAAAAAATTCTCAATTGTAGCACGAAGTCTGGAATTGTACCCGGTATATGGCAATAGGCTCTCCCCCTGTTACATGGGACTCATAACACAAATAGTGAGAAGTGGGTGTTATATTGTAGTGGCATTAAGTGCTGTAATGTGCACCTCTGCCTACCTCTTCGGGGATAAAAGGCGTGATTTTATGTTGGATAATTTGATACACACTTGTTGTTTTTGTACTTTTTCTGTTCACATGTTTATTTATTACTATATAAAATGTTTACCTGTTTCAATTGGGACCTGCTATGAACTTATTACATTTCTTTTACCAGGTTTCTGTGCCCACAATCGTGCCCACATGTACTTCTCGGAGTCCATCATATCTGACGTGCCGTTCACAGCGGTCCGGTGTGAGAGCTACGATGAGTTGTACTACTCAGGAACTTGTAAGGGAACTGGAGAAACTCTTGTCATGGGCGGATTTGATATTCATTATGGGTAAGTTGAAAAGAAGAGAAAGTTTGATTTATTTATTTACTCAAGCAAAAACTGAAGAATTAGCTTTTAGGATTGTTCAATTCTCTTAATTAAGCAACAGAGTAAGTCACGCTTGAGAACATCTAAAATTTAACTGTACCAAAACTTGGTATTTATGTTCCAATTAATTAACATTTAGTTATGATTCCCAGGCGTTCATTACTTCGCGTAGAACATTCACTTCAGCGGCTCAAACAACAACAAAAGAAGGTTATTTTAAGTATTCATGAACAACGGTTAACTTTTCGTCGCTTCTATGTTTAATTAAACAAAGAACACTCGTTTGTTAAGCAGTAACAACATTAGCTTAAATCTTGGAGATCAACGTTCATTGTTTTGTTTTAGGAAGGATGGTGTGTACTACCTAAGGACAAACGCTGAGAAACCCTTCGCGCTGGGGGATGGTGACCCAACATGAATTACGATCAAATATTTATATCCCGCTTTGCCAACTTCGCTAATAAATTAAAATTTCAAAGAAATTATTACGGGGAGGTCGCCTTTTTTCGCGACCACCGCTGTCACGACTGTGTCGTTAAATAATTAAAATGGCCCCGTTGCTGAAAACTTGCTTTGGGTATCACCTGTCTGTGCATTTTACCTAATGTTGTAAAATAAATATAATGTAGCACCTTCCTATTTATAAACGGATTTCCACTAAAATAGTCATATAACTATATTTTTAAATCTAAAATCGTTTTTATGGGCAGACTCTCCATCGTACAAAATATATTCGATAAAAATATTGAAATTTTTCTATGTGAACGAACTTTGATAGTTCGTTTTGCGCAAAAACAAAACGAGTGTTAAAATTTTTAATAAGTCCATTTGAGTGCTGAATTTTAGTCGATGTTTTAAAATATGAAATGACGCTAAATAACGAGAGTTTCAATTTATATGGGAAGTTGATTTGGCTGGCAAATCTCCAAAAGTTGGGCAACAACAATTTGTTCTTTTGTAAATGAGAATTAAATCGAGTCCGGACGTTTATTTGTTGCATAATAAAGTGTAAATTTTATTGAGCTACGGACACTGGCACATAACTAGTAGCTATTTATTATTTAAATTATTTATTGTACATTTAAATGTAAGCGAATTATTATTTTTGTATGTTTAGTAAGTTATTATTAAATGTAAGCGTAATAAAATTATTTTTCTTTTTATTTAAGTTAATCGAATATCTAATATCGTTTCATAAACTATGTTGTATATTGATGTGTTTTCTGTTACGACATGGGAACTTTTCCAAAAACTATTGACTTCAAGATAAATCGTGTTTCTCCTGTAATATCATAAAAGGGACAAAGAAATTTCCAACTTTGTTCCGTATTGTTGTTAGAAATATTTTTCATTTTGCCCTGAGTGTGTATCGAAGTTCCTAGTATAGATATACTTACATCCAATCTTATGTCCAATCTTAGACAATATTAAATTATTTATAGATAGTAGTGAAATTCATTATAACTGTCTTATTAGTAGGTAACTTAAGTACTTCTTTTCAGGAAACCTATAGGTCTAACTGTGTAAAGATGAATCAAGACGACTGTGAATTACGACTGAAATGAAATTTACCATCATTCATTTTAGGTAGGTACTCCTAAATTGTACAAATCGCTGAACTATGGAATACTTGTAAAAATATCCTCACTATCATTTGAAAGAAATTGCAAACAATTGAAGTATAAAGAATACCACAAAAGGAAAAAAAACAAACATACTGACCTAAGTATTTTTCAAATACAAACAAATGCAGCCATTGTTCTAAGAAACAAAATGGCTCCCTTCATGCTTCCCTTAAATTATATCGGTACGTATTTGAGTCGTTTGCCAAGTTTTTGATAGTTAGTCTAGGAATTGTTGTCTAGAATATTTGTATTCGTTGTAAGGTTGTTCGCTAGACACCACCGGAATATTAACCAGAACACGAGAAATAATGTAGCATAAACCACCGCAGTGGGACGTGCATGAACCATGCGTCGTTGTTATGCACCCTGCTTGTACAAACCTACGTACAATTGGGATGATGATAGGGTATGAAAATTAACAATCAAATTAGTCCGTCAGTTAGGTTATGAAAAAATATTAGACACGTATTTTTTTTTGTCGTATAATAAATCAAAGTTTAGGAGTGGGGGTTAAAACGTCATTTCTATGTATAAAATGTACCTACATAGAAGTAACGTCACACGACATTTCAAATCAATATATCGTTGAATGTATTCGTTTCTGTAAGAAAATAAAAAATGCGTATGTAATGATTTAAAATAATCTACCAGATATACATTAAAATAAAAATTAGTCATCTACCCTATTGGTGGACCTTGTGACGACTGGAGATTGGATAAGCTCGTAATAGTGCACTGCTGCACAATGGGTTTTCCCTACATGAGAGGGATTTGCCACACTTAGCAGGAGCGTTGAAGATCGCAGGTTAAAAATATCTGGTTTAGGTAGGTATTTAGAGAGCACATTTGTCTATTACGTGCATTGCGCAATCCTTTAGTAGGATCTCACGACATATACGAGGAGATTAGGGTTTGGGTGAAATATATTCTACTCTGCAGTCACCACTAGACACGCATTTGGCCAACATGTGTTAAAAACTTCCGATACTGTTCCATGATCAAACGTTTGATCAAATCTAAGATACTTGAACTTGTGTAGTCACGTTCTAGTAGCGTGTAAACCGTAGCAAATCTGTTGGATTGGAACGTATGGAATATTCTATCGTCTGGAATATATTCTGGAATTGTTAATATTCTACCTGAATTCCAGATAAATGCGTGTTTGTGGTGTTTCATTATCACGATTTGGAGAACACACAATGTTGGTACTGAAGGACGTTTCTGATACTTTTTGTGAACTACGAATTACGATATTGACAAGGAAAGATGCATTGAGAAGGAGAATTTGATATGTCTATAAAGACAAATCTATCTTCTATCTTTCATAATTACTACGTTGGCACAAAAATCATTGCCACGTCAATGATGTCATGCCCGAAATGACAAGGACAGAAACATATGGTGATGTTTTTCGAAATGCAAACATATTATATTTTGGCGCAAAAACAAGACAGAGGTGTTGCTTAAGTCAACTCACTTTATCTTTATCAGAAAATTTTGTGTAACTTATAGTTGTCAAATAATTTACCACATAATTTACTCAGAACAAAATTTATAGTTTCTAGTGTTACGTTCAACCATTTTTATAAAAATTTTCACGTTGCATTTCACTATTTTTCATTCAGTGATTACATTTTATGAGCTGCTTTCTTTAGCCGGCGTGTAGGTAGTACATTTTATTCCTGTTTCTTAGAGAAAACTAGTATTGTTTTACTGTTCTCCCTTGAGACTTTAGACTGTAGTATTAATGTCCTGACAGCAGACAACATGTTTCGAAAACTATTTGCTAAGCTAGGATGCAGGTCTGAAATAGTACCAGACTTGTAAGAAGTTACAGTTTTATGACATAAAATATTTTCATGCATTTTTTGATAGTTATAGGTGCCTTTGTCTTTGTTTAACCCCTCCCTCCATATATAGGGTTTTTTTAAGGGGGAAAAATCATCGAATGACTGCTCCCGCCTGGTTGAGGTGGGAGGGAGTGTCAGACTCTTACTGACTAAAACCCACCCTGTTCCTTCTCCTGCACGTCGAGCCGGAGCCCCGGTAACCCGTTACGTTCTCCGCGACATATATAGGGAATACATTGCTAATAGCGAAAAACGAATGCATTGCTAATAATAGAATACAAAGATTATGACATTCAATGAAAATTCCTATAGTTTTCTGAAATTTAATGAAATTCTAAACTTCATGCTTGCAAACATATTTCCCTATCGAGTAACTATAAATTGCAGATTTACTCTACTCTCAATACAGTCAAAGCACATTCAAACTCTCAGTAGATTTCAATAAACAACATGAGATTCTGTTATAAAGAAAAGTATCGGTACACAAGTATTTGATAAAGAGGGAAAAACATTGTATAGTGCTCAGTCGTTCGTAATAAATGAACTGTGTTTTCCTGTAGGTATTGGCTGTTCTTGAAGCACTGTACACGATCCTTTTGGCGCGAATTCGAGCGTTCTTGAGTGCCAAGCCTTTGTCACAATATGGCTGCTATTTGATTAATTATTTTGCTTCGAGTGGCACTGTGGAAATGTTAGCGGAGTGTACAGTAATTTTGACATTTTATTTGTAGGTATGTTTCATGTGTTTTCTGTTTAAATGGCTAAAACAGAAAAATATACGTAAAATCTGTTCGAGAGCTTTAGGAAACAGTTTCTAAAGATGTATGAGTATTGAGTAGGTGAATGTTATACATAGGTTTATAAAATAAAGAGCGCGAATTGTAAATAAATTTTAAAACCTTTTCTAAAATGATTTCTGTGAGAAAAAAAAATGAACTCTATTGAGTCTATTTCTGCGACAGATAAATCGTTGAACTTACTTGTTTTTCCTGTGATTGTGATTTATTAATAGCTTTCGATATCAATATCATTATTAAAATCCAAAGTTATAAATAATGATCGCAATAGGAATTCATGATTTCATTCAAATCTCTTCATCGAAATGTATCGAATACTAAACACGTACGATTTCAATGCAAAAATATTTTTCATACAATTTGAAAACCGTACCGTATCTTTATTCCTTTTGATGTACATTTTCTTTGTACAAAATGTTCCATCCTCATTCCATTTCCTGTAACATAGCAATTTCTCGCATTTACTAACGTTTATAAAGAATTTGCACGTTTAGTAAATCTGGTCGACCGTGTTGAAATAGAAGCTTCAATGAAAAGCGTTAAATACTATGTTGGGGAACTGGGGGAGAAAATATTTAAAGATATGTGGACAGTGTGAACTGGGAACCACTCACATGTCGTGAAAATTGCGGGAAACAACTATCTAGTCCATTATATAAATTGCTCTCGTTTTGAGAGCGTCCCACAAAAAGTATAATATGGCAAGATGTTCTCTGAGACGTGAAGTTATGGCGTCGACGAGAATTCTGATGTTTCGTCCGCTCTTATATCTACGTGCTGATTATTTTATTACCTGTTCTTGCGATCTTGCTTTTTGTGTTTTTATTTTCGTGTATAGGGCAGAAGGATTTTTTATGTATGTTTAAATTGATGATGTCGTGTTTGAATTTGTCGTAAGGGCGCTTTTGTTTATTCTACAGTAGCCTATATAACAACATATAACTTTACTGATGAGAATGAAATGAAATATGAATTGTTTAGGGCGAACTTTGTAATTAAACACCTCATTGATGCATATTTAATTGCAAAGTATTTATCGTTTCAATCTTCTTCGGTGCTCCATGTATCTTCAAGAAGTAGCTAGAAGTACTTATATTCAAAGATGTCAAAACTACTACAGGCCTAAATTACAAGTAGGTAATCGTGGCTAAGGTAATATATGGTTTAATAGTAGGCCATACAATTCCCGGAATTTGGAATACCTATGTTATCAATATCTAAGTGGATCTAGTGGTAGCCTAATTAATGATGGAATGTTAGCATGTTCTCTGAATGCCGTGTTATTAATAATTCAAAATAGTTGCTGGATTAGGGTATAAAGTGTTTAATACTTCTTGACCTATTTTAAATAGATTGTTGTATTTAGATCTTAAATATAACAACCTAAGGGTGTTTTAATACCGTGCGGCTTCCATCAAATACGCGGGATTGACGCGTAATATCCGCTAGTGTACTTTTCATTTCAAGTATTTATTGTAAATTATGTGGAGTACGCATACGGGACGCGTGTCTCATGCTGCGTTTTTTTTAAGGGGGAAAATCATCGAACGACTGCTCCCGCCTGGGTGAGGCGGGAGGGAGTGTCAGACTCTTACTGACTAAAAACCACCCCGTTTCTTCTCCTGCACGTCGAGCCGGAGCCCCGGTTACCCGTTAGGTTCTCCGCGACCCGCATGCGGGCTAATCCCGCGTGCTTGATGAAATCCGCACGATATTAAAAACACCTTAAATTACGTATACGTATAATAAGTACTTCAGTATTACTTAATATAGGCCAACTCTACGACACCCAGGGCAAGAGTAGAGGCAGTGACATATTTATGTTAACATTTTTCTCTACTG